TAAGTGTTACATAGGACAGGGGGGTAACTGTTACATAGGATATAGTACAATGGGGTAAAGTGTATTTTGCCCTAAATCTTATATAAAAATATTTAAAAGAAAAAGGGATTGCTCTAATTTTATCCAAACAAGAAGGATTTTACCGTAATTTAGCAGTACAGTGGGCTTTTATCAAATTAATTTTGAAGTATTTAATTAAAGTAATCAAATTTCTAATAAAACAATAATTGAAATTAGAATTGGTAGGGTGCGCCGAGCCGAAGGAGTAGTGCAACGCTAAGGCGACGCTCGAAGGCCCAGATAGCAAGCTACTTACTGGGCCCACCCCCTTAAAAAATTAATTTAATATCGTGTGGGCCCATGGCCCACATATCAGATATTAAACTGATAAGAACAGATACTACACTTGATCTTAGCCAAAAGGCCGAGAAAGGTATGCTTTAGATTGATACAGCCCGGCCCGATTTATATCTTCATTACTTAACACTTAATTGTCAGTTTATCGATGTGGGACAAAATTAATACATTTTACAAGCAAATTCTTGAAAATTTAGAAACTACAGTTAAACCTCTATATATTTTACAAATTATCGAGTCAGTAATTTAACACCTTTTCACCGAGTCGAGACTGACTGAAACTATTATTTAATCGAGGTTATTAATTTATCGAGGTTCTACTGTACTTCGTATCAATCAAATCTTCTATCAGAAAAAAAATAGAATTAATGTATATATATAACAAACAGTTGCAACAATTACATTAAACCTCTTGAAAATCGAAGGTGTGGAGTGAACGATTTATATAATGTGTAGGGGATGAAATGAGTCGTAATCGAGAGCGAAGAAATTGGTACTAGTTTGCGCAGTTGAAGCCGCGGCAAACGGAGAGCCAGATTATGAGGATTAAGAGGAGGATTATTCCGAGCACGACTAGCTTTATTTTCATATTTTGATACCACATTTTTCGTTGGAGTTGCGTCCCCCTTTTCTTGAATTCTTGAGCCTAGTTAGATAAGAAAAACGAAAAAAAATGCCCTCAGAGTGTGTGAGTGTGTGTGTGTGTGTGTGTGTGTGTGTGAGAGAGAGAGAGAGAGAGAGAGAGAGAGAGAGAGAGAGAGAGAGAGAGAGAGAGAGCACAAATAAGAATGAAAAAAATCATACCGAATCACGAAGGTCTTCAGCCTTGTCATTAAGAACAGTTAGGTTTGCGCCTCTTTCGATAGTCTGAAAAATGAATATATAATAGGATCAAATAGTGACGAAAAAACGAAGAGAGAGCAAATTTTCAAATCGAAGTAATGCTCAAACTTTTTACAGTAGTTGTCGAAAGAATTATTAAAAAGCAATCGATAGCAGAAAACAAGTTCAAACTGAATTAAGTTTAATTAAATTCACATACCTTGTCTATATTCTCAAGCATAATACTCTTGACTTCCGAAACCTGAGCCTTAACTTTCAATAGTTTATCGATCTCGTCAGCATGGTCGATTATATATTGCATGTGCTCTTTCATTTTCGGTCTGCATTACCAAAAAAAAAAAATCCGAAAAAATAACTCTCGTATATGTTTATCCACGGCTCAAATGACAATATATATTTTAAGAAATCACATCCGAATTATTTATATAAAATACCCGAATTCTTTGTTGAGGCTTTTGGCAACAGCTGTATCGGCTTTCCCGCCACCGTACCGTTTCCTGAAATCGGCTTTTATACGTTCCAAAAGTGCAATTGATATCTGTTTTCCAACGGATTCTTTCGCCACAACACAATAAGCTGCATCATTAGTAATATAAGCATTACGTGTCGATTCGCGTATATGATCCAGATGATGATTATACACCGTTTGGATACATGTACAAAATATAAACTAGAATATGTAAACGGGACCCGCCCCGTTAGCAAATGGGGCGGGTACGTGTTTTAAAAATTTCACCCTGTACCTTAAACAAAAACCGGACTCGAAAAACATTGGAAACACACCATTGCTCGGTCCAAAGGTTTCAATTTGTTTGCTTTTTCCGTGAAAATTTTGCAATGGATACAGAAACTTATTTACTACAATTTTACGAGCATAACCTTAACTAGTATCATCGTAAAATTTAATCCAAAAATTTCACCTTTTTGGATAACCGTAATAGATCGAACATTAAATTCTCCAGGTACCCAAAAATGCTTAT